CTAAACCCCTAAACCCTAAGCCAGTGTGAGGAGCTCAAGGCATCTTGTATATTCCGGCTCTCCAGCTTCCTGGATCGATCCAAGTCTCTGGTGGTTCTTTGGTCACCGCAATACTTCTCGCGGCTGTGGCCTGGCCTGCTTGTGCACTTAAACACAAGCGCGTGCACAGATATCAGTTTTTACATAGATGTAGTCCTAGATGTGCGCAGATATGTGTATGCCTATCATGAAACATACATATGTAGATGCGTGAAATTTTCAAGCCGAAAGCCTGAGCATGCTTGTTTGTACATCTGGTTAACTGTAGCTGACAAAGTGAGCACTGCTGAGTCTGGTCTCTGTCAGCTAAGGTGGTGCATGTACGAGGTGGCCACTTTCCTTCGAGATCGGCGGCAGCAGCGATCACAGTCGGGGAAGCCGGTTGTGTTTCTTCCCGTCCAGGTCTCCGTTCTCTATCTCGTTACATTCGTTGCAAACTCAGTGTTGCACTTCTCCACGCTTTCTGCAGCTGCCGCATGGAGGTTCCAAGATCAGAGTTTGGGTGCAATGGCCTGGTTCATTCTTTGCAACAGCAGTTTGCCCTGGATATTTTTACCAGCTTGCTTCTGGCTCTGTACGGATGTGCTTCAGGATGCTGCTCAGCTTAGGGATCAGTTCCTGTCATTCCGGATACAGGACAGCATGTGCTTTTGCTGCCAGCATGAGCACCAGCATCCAGAAACTGGCGTCGACATCCCATGTGACTGGGTTCTTGTTAAGGGATTTAATGTAAGTTACCATAATAAGGAAACCATTTTATGTACAATAGATCCCTATACTTATGGTCCCTTAAGTTAAATCCCGTAACAAGAACGCAGGTGATCGACAGCTCATCTATGGCGTCCTGCAGAAGTGGTTCGGGTCCTCTGCGCATTCGCAGGAGGACTGCTTGGACACCTTCAACCGGCTTGTACGGACCGAGCTCGCACCCCCTGTTCCTAGGTAGTATTAGGGAGACCCCTTAAAAGCCTTAAAAGGGACCCTTCTCAATCCTACTGGCGGCTCTCTTAACAGGGACCTTATTGAGAGGGACTATATCCCCAAGGGTCCCCTTCATCCTAACTCCTACCTGTGCCACACTGAGTGCTCTTTTGCACAAGTCTCATAGGAGGCCTAGAGCATCATAAAGCCAAGCATCAGACATAAATATTGATCATTGTAGGAGTAGCGTTCATTGCTCCCTACAACACACAGAGGTGCTGCGCAAGTTGGAGGATGAAACCTTGATGGCCCAGTACTTGACCACTGCGGGCTTTGCCTCGTTTTTCCCGTGGATCCCGATGCTACTGCCTGCCTGGTTGACAGAGCTGCGAAGTGCATGTGAAGGACATGCCGGGTGCCTTGAGCCTGTATCCGGGTGGGGGCGTTTCTTAGAGTTATAGGGGGTGGAGGTGCTTAATTTTCTCAAGCGTTCCTGTCGTTCATGGTAGCATAGGGCCTTTCATCTATGATGTTTGTCTGTGATGTGAATGATGTGCCTTTCGCCGATCAGTCAGTTGCTGGATGATGACGCTCTTGCGTAGGGTGTGCAGCCACATGGGAAATCGGAAGCTCAGGGGTAGAAAGTGGGGCTGTTCGCTGTGCCCCTAAGCCCTCAGCCCTTAAACCCTAAACCCCTAAACCCCGAAAGCCCGAAAGCTCTAAAGCCCTGAAGCCCTTAGGTCTTCAAAGCCCCAAGGTATGGCAAGCTCCTCCGCAGCCGCGGCATGGAGGTGAACATCGTCTTGGTCTTGCTTTGCTGCGTGCATTGGCGCGTGAAGGTCCGGGGGTTTTTGGCCGGAAAAGAGAGGGGGTTTAGGGTTTAGGGTTTAGGGCGTTAAGTACGCGACCCCGAAACCCTCAACCCTAAACCTCCCAAGAAGCCTTAATGATCTGTACCTTAAACCCTGAACTGTACCCCAAATCCTGAAACCCTAAACCCTACAAGCCCTGGAAGCCCCAAAGATCTAATGTAGGAACCTGAGTCCTATAACCCCCCAAATACTCGGATTCATATAAGCAACCCTAGTAAAGACCCAGGGTTTCTTAATCAGGTTCCTACAGTAGAAGACCCTAAACCCCTAACCCTCAACCCTAAGCCCTACACCCTAAACCCTAAACCGTAAACCCCTAATTAGGCCCTAAACCCTAAACCCTCAACCCCTAAACCTAAACCCTAAACCCTAAACCCCTAAACCCTAACCCTCTGCCTAAAGCCCTGGTTCAGAGAACTCGTGAGGTGATCGGCCCGCTTGGTCTTCGGCTGAGAAGTCGGCTGAGCCCAGCAACTGGGCCAACAAAAGCAGTTAGGGGTTTAGGGTTTTCAGGGTTTAGGGTTTGGGGGTTTAGGGGTTTAGGGGTTTAAGGTTTAGTAGGGGTTTAGGGTTTAGGGGTTTGGGGTTTTTCGGGTTTAGGGTTTAGGGTCTTAGGGTTTTGGGGTTAATGGTTTTGTGTTTAGGGGGTTTGGGTTTAGTGTACAGGGTTTTGGGGTTACAGTTCAAGGTGTCCCGGTCTCCGTTATTGTGATGATACTATACTCCAAGATGTTCTTACGGGTAGACCTCGGGTTTTTGGATTTGGGGTCAGTAGACGGGATGTTATCAAGCAGTATGGGGTCGACGGGTCTGTGGGTTTTGGACTTCTTTCAGTTTCTTCTGTATGTACTATATATGCGTACTAGGGTCAGTAGAACTAAGTTCCTTTGGAAACAACCGTTTAAAATCCCATACAGCCCCCTTTAAACCACCGTAATTTTGAGCTAAGATTCCTCAGCAAAAAGCCGAGGCCGTGACGGTGGCCGTGCAAGTGTTGGCAGAGCTTTTCCTGGGCCTGGGATCCTGGTCCCTCTTTCCCGTGTCGGTGCTCCTGGTACACGAAGACAGCCTCCTTCCAGCCCTGCCGCTCTGTCTGCTGCTTCTCTTGAATCTTGTCCTTTACAAAGGGGCGGCAGAAGAGCAGGGAAGCGGCTTCCCTGCCGGAAAGCGGTTGCGGAAGAGCCAGTGAGATTTTATTTTTGAACTGGAGCGTAAGCCAGATTCGGCTTCGAATGATTTATTGACTGCATGAGGTTTGCCTGAAGTGTAACTATTTCTGGGGATGCTTCCAGAAGAAGGTGCAATATCTCTGGGAGCCACGTGTAGCGGCGTGTTCGTCGTGGTAGGTTGATGGACCTTTGTAGGTGTCTAACACAGGGCTTTAGCTTTCGTTTGCAAGTCGCCGGTCGAAAGGAGCATCCCCTCAAGGTTGCCTGACAGACTCCGCCTTGGAACGCAGAAGTCAAAGTCACAGCAGTTGCTGCGTCAATCGCCGCAAATTACGCGGCCAAACATTGCCAACCGGCAGCCTTAGCCCTTTGCTGCGCTGATCGTGCTCTGAAGCTGCTAGGTCTAGGTGGATCCTACAGTATATAGAAATAGATAAATGATGGATAAATAAATATATATATATATATGTGTGTGTGTGCGCTTATAAAATACACATAGTATAATCATAAGAGTACGAATATACATACGTATATATATATATATATACATACATACATATTTGTTATATTAGTATTATACATATATATATATATATTGATTGATATATTGACATGGTGTATACTAAACTACCTCAAGTTACTTTCAAGCACCATCACTATCGGGTGTTCCGAGCGTCCTTTGAGGGCCCTCTAGTGTGAAAGATCCTAGCATCTCGGGTCAATACTTAGGTGCTTTAGTTGTTGAAGCTCTGATGTGATGGAAGCTCATTGGTGACCATCCGAATAACAGCCCGAAAGCTTCAGGCACACCGCACACTCTAGCAGAGAGCAGACGAGTGTGCACCTTTGTAGTACACTGCAGCTCGTTAGCACACCATTTCTGCGCGCTAAGCGCTAAACCCTGAAACCCTAAAGCCCTAAAGCGCTAAACCCTGAAACCCTAAAGCCCTAAAACCCTAAAGCCCTAAACCCTTATATACTTTTGGTTTTCATAGAACGCCCTTAGCATCTCGTCTGCAGATCTCGGCCGTAGCGTGGTCCAAGGGTCCCGCGGATGGACGCTGCCTGAAAGAAGGTTGCAGTCCACCCAGGGGGCACAGGCCGAGTCTCTTGAAACATTACTTTTAAAGAAGACCTGAGAGCCGAATTACGGCACCTTAAAACCCTAAACCCTAACCCCTAAACCCGAACCCCTAGACCCTAACCCCCAAACCCTAAACCCGAAACCCTCAACCCTAAGGACCCTGAGGGTTATGGCATATAGGTAGTTCTCTGTAGTAGGGTCCCACTTCAGGTCCGCAAAACAGTACGGCACCCTGTAAAAGAAGGACCCTAAACGGGGATCCAAATTGGGAGAACTACCCCATCTACGAACTCGTATAGTACCTTTTACAGAAGCCCTACAGAAACCCTTATAGATCCCTTTACGGAGCCTTTACTTATAAGATTAAAGCCACATTCAGGGACGTGGCTGCTCTGCTGAACCCTAAGCCCGAAACGCCCAGAGCACCGCCCAAGTCTTCCAGTTTGGGCCATGCAGGAATTTTCCCATCAGTTCTGGCCTTTCTGGCCTTTCTGCTCTAGCATGCTGCACCGGGCTCCATCTGCAATCCCCGGGCCCCGAACCAATCCCAAAACCCAAAACCCCTAACCCCTAAACCCTAAACCCTAAACCCGAGGGTTTAGGATTTAGGGTTTAGGGTTTCTAAACCCTAAACCAATGGCAGGGAAAGTTTGTTCTTTGCAGCCTCCCATGTGGTGAGGCTCAGGGTTTCGTGAATCAAGGTCGGGAGTGCACACGCAAATTCAGACGTCACGGTTTAGGGTTTAGGGTTTAGGGCTTTAGGGTTTAGGGTTTAGGGTTTGGCGCTATCTTGCGGGACTTCTTTCACAGAGTTGTCAGCACAAATAACCGCGGCGATTGAGATGACCACTTCCCATCTTGCGACAGCGAAACCCTGCGGTGATTTTTGTGGAGGCTCGATCTAGAGAGAAGGGCCATTGCTCGCTAAAGCGATCAAGCTGGACGGCTAAGTACAGGCACCCAGCATCCTACACCCGAAAAAAAGGGGCTTTAATAGTTGCCTATACTATTTTGGGGGTTCCTCATTATGCCAAATTCTGCTTAGAGTATTATGGCCTCAAAACCCTATTCCAATTATTACGTTTAGACCCTGGGCCCCGAAGCCCAATGCCAAGCCTCAAACCTATCGGGCCGTTGGGAAACCCTAACCCTCCACCCTAAACCCTAAACCCTAGACCCTAAACCCTACACCCGAAAACCCCTAAACCCTAAGCCCTAAAGCCCCAAAGCCCTAAACCCTAAACCCTTAAACCCTTAAACCCGAAACCCTAGACCCTAAAGCCCAAAACCCGAAAACCCCTAAACCCCAAGCCCTAAAGCCCCCACAACCCTAACTGTAAGGTTTGGGCAAGCTCTGAACCGGAAGTCGCCCAAGCCAAGCTGTCGTCTGAACCTTCGGAAGCGCGCCGTCCCGGAAGCCAGACATTCAGAGATTCCCCAACGGCTACCCCCCTTAGTTAGGGGTTTAGGGTTCTGGGCAAAGTTTAGGGTTTAGGGCTACCCCCTTGGTTAAGGGTTTTGGGTTTTAGGGTTTAGGGGTTTAGAGTTCGGGTTTGGGGTTTAGGGTTTCGGGTTACCCCCTTTAGTTACGGAATGGACCGTACATCTCAGTATGGATCCCCCTCGAATTTACTCAATCAGAGGGGGGTTGGAAGTTTGGAGTCTCTGAAGAAATTCCTCCAAATCTGGGGGACCCGAGATGGCGATGTGGAGCTGGGAGGGTTTGGGGTTCCGGGTTTAGGGTTTAGGGTTTTAGGGTTTTAGGGTTTAGGGTTTTGGGGTTTAGGGTTTAGGGTTTGGGGGTTTAGGGTTTCTCACCCTCCCAGCGCCTGCGCCCCAGGCGCGCGTTTTTAAATAGCTTCCCAGCTCGGGCTGGACAGAGACAGCGGCAGAGGACACACCCCCGAGACTCCTAAGCTAGGAATGGACCTGAAGTCATATCTTGAAGTCTTCAGGGTTTGGGGTTTGAGGGTTTAGGGTTTAGGGTTTGGGGGTTTAGGGTTTAGGGTCTAGGGTTTCAGGGTTTAGGGTCCAGGGAGGGTTTAGGGTTTAGGGGTTAGGGTGCATATAGTGAAGGGGTTTTGGAGTCTCTGGGGCCGCGTAGACGGACTCGGGCTCGGCCTGGATGTCAAAAGCAGGTCGAAAAGGGCCCTTCAGGGTTTCGGATTATGGGGTTTGGGGCTTTAGGGCTTTAGGGTTTCGGTTTAGGGCTTGAGGGCTTCAGGGTTTTAGGGTTTAGGGTGTAAGGTTGTAGGCTTATGGGATAAGATACAGGGTATAGGGTTTAGGGTTTAGGGCTATAGGGGTATAGGGTTATAGGGTTGAGGCAGGTCACGAAAGCCACGCCTGCAGCATCTAATGTGCCTCTGGAAACGGGAAATGCGTAAGTTGACCTGCTTATACGGATATCCCTACATTGTGTGCCAGCCTGCCGCACGAAGTTGAGGCTTTGTAGCGAATCAAGTTTTGCAACGGCAAAGCTGGGCAACAACGGAATCTCAAGTAGCTGTAAGAGATGATCCGGCAAAGGCGCGAAGAAGATTAGCTATGGTCTACTTCTACTGTCTATCCCTAAACCCCAAACCCTAAACCCGAACCCTTAAACAACCCTGGTGGCGCTATTTTTTCGGTATTTTTTTTCCGTTTATTTTGGTATTTTTTTTCCGTTTCTTGTGCTCAGCAAGGCAGCAAGCAAGCAAGCAAGCAAGCAAGCA